TCAGCACGTTTTCACCCGAAACGAGGGAGGAAGTCCCGTGGACTGCGTCAACATGAATATCCTATACAATGCAACCGGCTGCAGTACGAGTTTCATCCGTCCTCATCTGGTGAGATCGACCAACGAATCTCTGCTAATGCACTTTCATATGAAATGAAGGTCCCTCTAACAATCGTCTGCCATAGCAGTTGTCATGATTTCCAGCATCAGACAGTGGATTTGGTACATTCTCAAACGTTTCGCCGGCATCATCAGTGAGTTTTGCCATTCCTCGCACCAAGCTACGAACACGTCAAAGAGACAGGTGAAGTCAATCCTTCCACCAACGTTCTGCCAGAAAAGGTTTCACCATCACTCCTATTTTTGTCCTGGCCTATCTATCTACTCTTTACCCCCCTTATCCCACTGCCGCCCTATCACAACTTCTCACTTGTTTACATTACACTCATCAAAATGTGTGCCCTTTTATGGCAAATATAGTGTGGCCTCATCACACTTGCTATTCACCCGACCCTCTCTCTTTCGATCGGCTGATCCGACTCGGGCCTTCAATCCGGATCCCCTCATAGTCTCGTAGATCCGTTCCTTATCTTTCTGGTTGACCGATTTCACTCAATCTAGTCCCAGTGTGCATTTCACTCCATGCGCTATTTCTCAAGGCACCTACACTTACGCCTTACTGAGCAGAGCACTAAGATCTGATTATCAGGCCTTCCCTTCACGGGTCCTCTCCTTGATTAAACCAATGCTATCTTGGTCGCATGCGGCATTTCAAATGGATTACTAATGCACTTTGGCCATAGCGCCGAATTTCCGTGACGGTTTGCTTATCCGTCTGTCCAGCTCCCTGACTGCCAGGACCCCAAAGTTGTACTGATTTATTCGAAATAGACATCACTCACTGACAACGTCTTCGCATTATTGCCGAAAACCCCTGCAGCGTAAGTGTACATGCTTCTAGTGCTTTGAGAAATAGCGCATGGAGGGAAACGCACACAGGGACTGGAATCGAGTGAAATCGGTCAACCAGAAAGATAAGGAACGGATCTACGAGACAATGATAGGATCCGGATTGGAAGCCCGAGTCGGATCAGCCGATCGAAATAGAGAGGGTCGGGTGAATAACAAGTGTGATGAGTCCACACTATATTTGCCACAAAAGGGCACACATTTTTATGAGTGTAATTTGAACAAGTGAGAAGTTGTGATAGGGCGGCAGTGGGATAAGCGGGTAAAGAGTCTATAGATAGGCCAGGACAGAAAGAGCAGTGGTAATATAACCGTTTTCGGCAGAACGTTTGTCGAGAGATTGACTTTACTTGTCTCTTTGACGAGTTCGTAGCTTGGTGCGGAGAATGGCAAAACTCACTGATGATGCCGACTATGATGCCGGCGAAACGTTTGAGAATGTACCAAGTCCACTGTCTGATGCCGGGAGTCACGACAACCACTATGGCAGACGACTTCGAACTAGGTGCATTCTACTAACTCTCCCTGACAATAAGACGAGGTTAACCCACTTTAATACTTGTAGGTTTTACGCAAATGAGAGTAGCAAGTGCTTGAGTTGCACATCTCTGAAGCAGGTGGCAAACTGAATCCTCTTTGCCTAGACAATAGAAGTGCTCGCTCTTATTCCCAATAGCACATAGGAGAAAAAGGTGCATATCCTCAATGAAGATATTTGGTTGTCTGTTTCTCTTAACTCCTCTATTTGCTCGGAGAAGGTGAAGCTGTCGCATCCTATTCTCTCATGATGCTTTTAAGCTTCGTTTTGTGCACCAAAGAAGCATACATAATTGATCTATCTCTGTCGTATTTGAGGCTAAAACTGCTCCTTTTGGCCTAGTCTTATCGTTAGGGAGGGGTGAATAGGTTGACACATACAAAGAATTCGCGTTTGTCAGAGAAAATAT